TGGTGTGTATTGCGAGAGAGTTTGTTTTTGTCTTTTGGGAGGGTGCATGTGATCAGCACAGGGCCAATCAGCACTGTTCAGGCAGAGGGTCTGGGGTCATGCAGCCTCATAGGACAATAGGAGGAGAATGAAAACTCCTACAAGATTAACCAGTGCTCTGCCGGACACTGATAGAAGTCACAAGACTGCTCTAACTGTTGATGAGAAAAGGTATTTAGCAGTTTATATTTACTGAAATAAATGCATTTCCATGTAGTGTGTACTGTGGGAGACCAGATAGTGAATGCAGGGTCTTAGGTTTAGTAACACCGTAAGCTACTTATTTCTAAAAAAAAAACATCTTCAGGAAGGCCAAAGGGCAATAGTATAGTATAACCATCCACTCCATCACACATGTAATTGTCATGGGCACCGCAGAAGCCCCTGGATTACAAACGGTAGCCTTTAGGATAAACACATGGTCTCACCCATGCCTCCTGCATCCCTCAATGCAATACATTCAACCAGAAGCTCGCACTTCAAGAGGGAGAGTGGAAGATCTCCAACTCCTGAGCTTACAGTTGAAATCTGCAAATGTAGCACCCCAGATCTTGGGGGTTCCTCGGCTCTCAGGAAGCAGGTATGTGCAGGTAGATCTCCATACCTGCCTTTTACACACTGTTTCAGCTAGTATACTTTGTATCAGCTACAGGTACACATTTATAGGCTCCAAAGAAAGGTCATTTTAGACCTTTTTGGGCAATTGGTGCATATATGGGCTGACATTAAAGTTCTACGTATATTCTTCTCCACTTAGATACAGTGAAATATCCTCATTGCACTCTATATTATCATATGACACTGAAGATCTTTTTGAACAGGTCCTCTTTGTACCGCAAAGCAGCCAGAAGTTCAGCCTTGGCCATGAGTGGTTATGGCCTGGGGTCCAACCAGATAGCCTTGGCCATGAGGGGTTATGGCCTGAGGTCCAGCCAGATAGCCTTGGCCATGGGGGGTTATGGCCTGAGGTCCAGCCAGATAGCCTTGGCCATGGGGGGTTATGGCCTGAGGTCCAACCAGATAGCCTTGGCCATGGGGGGTTATGGCCTGAGGTCCAACCAGATAGCCTTGGCCATGGGGGGTTATGGCCTGAGGTCCAACCAGATAGCCTTGGCCATGGGGGGTTATGGCCTGAGGTCCAACCAGATAGCCTTGGCCATGGGGGGTTATGGCCTGAGGTCCAACCAGATAGCCTTGGCCATGGGGGGTTATGGCCTGAGGTCCAACCAGATAGCCTTGGCCATGGGGGGTTATGGCCTGAGGTCCAACCAGATAGCCTTGGCCATGGGGGGTTATGGCCTGAGGTCCAACCAGATAGCCTTGGCCATGGGGGGTTATGGCCTGATGGCCCATGAGGTGAGGTCCAACCAGATAGCCTTGGCCATGGGGGGTTATGGCCTGAGGTCCAACCAGATAGCCTTGGCCATGGGGGGTTATGGCCTGAGGTCCAACCAGATAGCCTTGGCCATGGGGGGTTATGGCCTGAGGTCCAACCAGATAGCCTTGGCCATGGGGGGTTATGGCCTGAGGTCCAACCAGATAGCCTTGGCCATGGGGGGTTACGGCCTGAGGTCCAACCAGATAGCCTTGGCCATGGGGGGTTACGGCCTGAGGTCCAACCAGATAGCCTTGGCCATGAGGGGTTACGGCCTGAGGTCCAACCAGATAGCCTTGGCCATGGGGGGTTACGGCCTGAGGTCCAACCAGATAGCCTTGGCCATGGGGGGTTACGGCCTGAGGTCCAACCAGATAGCCTTGGCCATGGGGGGTTACGGCCTGAGGTCCAACCAGATAGCCTTGGCCATGGGGGGTTACGGCCTGAGGTCCAACCAGATAGCCTTGGCCATGCGGGGTTACGGCCTGAGGTCCAACCAGATAGGCTTGGCCATGGGGGGTTACGGCCTGAGGTCCAACCAGATTCGATCAAAAGACACATCAATAGGCAAAAATAGTAAAGGTCTTCCAAAAAGCAATGCTTAAACCCGAACCATCAAAGGACATCTATAGAGAATGTGTGTGTTTCCCATAGAATGTTTGCATCATGACGTTGTACGTGTTATAGGAGCAGCTGACATCTGCCTCCGGGGATTCTATACCTCCCAGGCTGCTGAAAAGGATTTAATATAGTGTGGCTTTTTCAGTCAATACAGTGGATAAGGTCAATCGGGTCAGCCATTTCAATTCCAGGCTGAGAATTTCCCCAGTTATTAAATACAGCAGTTCCATCCCACAAAATATGCTAATAATACCTAGGTTTGCTACACACCAGCTGAACTCAAGGCCAAACACTGCTGTGCTCAGCTGACCATAGGAGCCGGGAAAAAGGAAAGCCTGGGCCCCTTAAAGATGATGGCACACAGACAAAAATCTACTGATGTGCAAGAAAACCTTCTATAGGATGGTCAAGCATGACTGTGCATCACCATGAAGTTATATGAGCAGATAGGAGATGGACAGTTATATATATATATATATATATATATATACAGGGCTTTTGTTCAGGGGGAACGCAGTTCCAGACCTCCAGTTCTGAATGTATGTATTTGCAAAGGGTGCTGGGGTGTGCTGGAGGGTCTATTGATACGGCTGCTGGGGGATCTATTGTTGCTAGAGGGGATCTTTTTTTTGCTCCAGTTCTAGTTGCTGGTGGGGTATATATTGTTGCTGGGGATGGGCCTTATGTTTCTGGGGGGGGGGTTCAATCTGTGCAGGGAGGAATTTACTGTTGAGGGAAAGGTCTATTGATGCTGGCTGCTGGGGGATCTATTGTTATAGGAGTGGATTTTTTTTTTGTTTTGGGGTCTATTGCTGCTGGGGATGGGTCTTATGCTGCTGGGGAGGTCAATCCTTGCAGGGATTGTTGCTACCTGCTGGAGGGTCTTTGATGCTGGCTGCTGGGGGATCTATTGTTACTAGAAGGGATCTTTTTTTGTGTTGAGGGTCTATTGTTGCTGGTGGGGGATCTGGTTGTTGGGGATGGGCCTTATGCTGCTGGGAGGTCAATCTTGCAGGGAGGAATTTACTGTTGAGGGAGGGGTCTATTGTTACTCTCTGCTGGAGTGTCTATTGATGTTGGCTGCTGGGGGGTCTATTGTTATTAAAGGGGATCTTTTTTTGTGTTGGGGTCTATTGTTGCTGGTGGATGATCTATTGTTGCTTGGGATGAGCCTTATGCTGCTGGGGGGGTCAATCTATGAAGGGATGAATTTACTGTTGAGGGGAGGGGTCTATTGTTGTTATCTGCTGGAGGGTCTATTGATGCTAGAGGGGATATTTTTGTGTTGGGGGATCTATTGTTTCTGGGGATGGGCCTTATGTTGCTGGAGGGAGGGGGAGTTCAATCCTTGCAGGGAGGAATTTACTGTTGAGGGAGGGGTCTATTGTTGCTATCTGCTGGAGGGTCTACTGAGGCTGGCTGCTGGGAATGGATCTATTGTTCCTTGGGGCTCTATTGTTGCTGGATGGGGGGGGGGGGGTAAATTGCTTCTAGCTCCAGGAGATCTGTTTTTCTGCCTTTCTTGTTATCATTAACAAATTTCATACAAATTACCACCACAAAATGATACTCGGTTCTGTATTTGCTAAAAGGGGCGGGACTGGGAGGTGGGTAGTGGAACCAAGGAACAGTGCTCAGAGGTGAGTTGGGGACAGGGATTCAGAAGGGGAGAGTTCCTGCACCTATACCCTGTGTGTGTGTATATATACCAGTGTGTGTGTGTGTATATATATATATATATATATATATAATACATTAAGGTCCAATTGGATAGCTCATTATTCATTGAGGATTAAGGTCCAAATGGATAATTTATAGATACCTATTATTCATTAAGGTCCAGTTGGATTAGAGGTATATAATTTCATTAAGGTCCAAATGGATATTATATATTCCTATTATTCCTTAAGGTAGGATATATAGATACCTAATATTCATTAAGGTCCAATTGGATAATAGATATAATATTCATTAAGGTCCAATTGGATTCCTATTATTCATTAAGGTCCAAGTGGATAATTTATAGATACCTAATATTCATTAAGGTCCAATTGGATAATTTATAGATACCTAATATTCATTAAGGTCCAAATGGATAATATATAGATACCTATTATTCATTAAGGTCCAAGTGGATAATTCTTAAATAACTATTATTCATTAAGGTCCAAATGGACAATATATAGATACTTATTATTCATTAAGGTCCAATTGGATAGTTCATAGATACCTATTATTCATTAAGGTCCAAATGGACAATATATAGATACTTATTATTCATTAAGGTCCATTTGGATAGTTCATAGATACCTATTATTCATTAAGGTCCAAGTGGATAATTTATAGATACCTAATATTCATTAGGGTCCAATTGGATAATTCATAAATAACTATTATTCATTAAGGTCCACATGGATAATATACAGATACCTATGTATACATAGATATGGATATAGATAGTTATTGAACGATACATAGCATAGATAGATGATTTAGATTGACATATCAATGATATAAAGGGATATATTAATGGATAACAATATAGAGAATAATAAAAGACAGTTGCTAGAATAGAAGTAGGAGAAATCTGAAATGGTCTGTACACACATTTTTCAAGCATGCATCCTGTAGACATTTCTATGTTCCTATGGCCACATATAGATCGCTGAGTGTCTGTAGCTCAATACATGGTGCAATTCGGTGTCCTGAACCCCCATCCGGTCCTTTAGGTGAATCCGAATCACAAATCTTGGCAAGACTGTTGCATAGAGGGCATCCCCTGAATTGCAACATAAGCATGTTTGCTGAGCACGAGCCATACCCCCCCGTTTGTGTAGGAAAACCTGGATATTGCAGCTTGCATTCTATGCATTCCAATTACTGTGAAGACCCCCCAGCACCACCACCACCCTCCCATTCTAAATCCTGAAAATCGCCCCCCCTCCCCAAGGCTTTGCCCCCTTACCTTCTGGGAGCTGAATGACTGGGTCCAGTGGTACAGCACCAGCTTGTCCTTGGATTTGGGGCTGGGGTTGGAGGCTTCGGGCTCCTCCTGGCCCTCGTCGGTTTTGCCCGCATCGTTGTCTATAGCTGAAATAGGCCACCAGCTGCAATTAGTGGGAGTAACATTGCTGGCAGTCGCCATGACAGCCGGAGAAAGAAGAAAAGGAGAGGGCTGCGAGGGGCTGCTGCTCTAGCACACAGCATCACATGGCTCTGTGGACATCACCAAGCGCTCAGCATCCTCCCATTACTCATCTGATGCTGCCTGAGCGATGCTGATGCTGACAATGAGGCGCTCGCACATCTACACAACAGATGCCTGGGTGAAAAAAAAAAAATCACCGCTTCTAGTATTCGTCCCCGTCCCTCTGGAATTCCTTCTGCACTCCTGAAGGTCAACTCCGGATTCGCCCTTTAATTTTCCACCGTCGCTGAATGACGCGTAGATTGGGATAAAGCGCTGTGTATCATAAACACTGCCCTCCCTTTATTAAAAAAAAAAAAAAGCTTCTCTCCTTTTTCTTTTCCCCCCATCATTTGTTGCATATCGGTGCTGCTTTCCTGCAGCCTCTTTGCAGCCACTTCCTGTCTACAAGCATGGCTGGTGACAACAGAGGACCGTGGCTGTGAAAGCCTACATGCCACGTGGCCGTAATCATTTTACCGATCCTATAGGCATGGTTGTTCTGGCACAAAAGTTCCTGCAAATGTGAAAAAATAAGACTGAGCTAGTAACAGATCCAGTATGTACCATAGCATGGACACATGAACATGTTAAATCGTATCAATAAACCGATATAAAAGTCCCAAAATATAAATCAATATTTGAAAGTCCCCCCAAAAATATATATGTGATAGTTAAAAAATAAAGATGCAAAAAAATCCTTTTTTGAAATAAAATCCACCAAGTGAATCCACCACCAAATGAACTGAATAAACTCCCCAGAATCAATATGCTGATTATATTATAACCCAGCGTAAGCGCTTTCTGCTCTGGGAGCAGCGATCTGCAGACAGTTGAGGCCAGGGGCGGATTGACAACTCATGGGGCCCCCGGGCAATAGGGGATCATGGGGCCCCTGTGTCCTTGCCCAAACTCAAAAAAGCCTATGAAAAAGGTACCAGGGGCATCTCATGGGGCCCCCTACTTACCCCGGGCCCTCGGGCAGTGCCCGAGTTTCCAAATGGTCAGTCCGCCCCTGGTTGAGACAAGCTTAGGCTTGGAAGAGATGATTTCCTAGAGCAATACTCTGCAGGAGACTGAGTTCCTGCGTCTGGGTTTGTTCACGCCACTTGCGAAAGCGCGCCTTTTCCCGCACCACACAAAAAGCGCTGTCCTCTGCAGACCTGCGCAGGTGTCTTTTATTAACGCCACCTCTAGCAAATGCAGGTGCGTTTGCAGCCACCAAAATGGGGACCGCAGTACAACGGTTAGTCCTGGTGGACTATTTCCATCCTAGGTCCATTCTTGAGGGTTTTCCTCTTGAATTCTCTGGGGGGGTAATGTCCTCTGTTAGCCCCCGTTCACATATATGCGGCTGTGCAGGCTGCGTTTTGCACGGGCATGAGAGCCCATTCATTTGAATGGACTCCCGTGCCCCGTGACACACAGGGAAGAAGTCCCTGCACTTCGTCTGAAAACGCAGCCCGCACGGGAACCTCGGTTCATTTGAATGGACTCCCGTGCCCTGTGACATGCAGGGAAAAAGTCCCTGCACTTCTTCTGAAAACGCAGCCCGCACGGGAACCTCGGTTCATTTGAATGGACTCCTGTGCCCCGTGACATGCAGGGAAAAAGTCCCTGCACTTCTTCTGAAAACGCAGCCCACACGGGAACCTCAGTTCATTTGAATGGACTCCGGTGCCCCGTGACATGCAGGGAAAAAGTCCCTGCACTTCTTCTGAAAACGCAGCCCACACGGGAACCTCAGTTCATTTGAATGGACTCCTGTGCCCCGTGACACGCAGGAAAGAAGTCCCTGCACTTCTGAAAACAGCCCACATGGGATCCTCGGTTCATTTGAATGGACTCCGGTGCCCATGACATGCAGGGAAGTCCCTGCACTTCTGAAAACGCAGCCCACACGGGAACCTCAGTTCATTTGAATGGACTCCTGTGCCCCGTGACACGAAGGAAAGAGGTCCCTGCACTTCTGAAAACAGCCCACATGGGATCCTCGGTTCCTAGTATGGCTGTGTTTCCCAGTGCGGGCGGCGTGTCTTTAGAACTAATGGCACTCTCCCGTGGGTCTGCATTCATCTGTGCGGGTGGTGCGGCTGCACAGATTTTCATGCAGACCCGCAGCCGCACCACCCGCACGAACCTAGCCTAGGATTTTCATGTCTCTGATGCAGGGGTGGACTCACCATTCGAGCACTCAGGCACTGCCCAAGGGCCCGGGGTCAGTAGAGGGCCCCAGGCCTCTGGTACCTTTTATAGGCTTTTCTGGGGGTGCTTTGAGTGTGGGTGAGGACACAGGAGCCCCATGAGTTGTCAGTCCGCCCCTGATCTGATGGTTTATCATTGTCTATAGTGCACAATAAAGTTCTTTTGAGGTTAGCCAACTAGGTGTGCAGCCTTTTTTCTTCGCCTTCTTTTGTTTTCAGTACGGTTTGGTGCAGCGTGATTTTAAAAATCTTGAATCATAAGGCTCCACTCACACCAATGCGTTTTTTTTTAATGCTTTTTGCAGAAACGCACTACAGTCCGTTTAACATGGTCTCCTATGGAACACGTTCACATCAATGCTTTTTTAAGCTTCTGCATTTTTGGAAAGGGTCAGGGACTTTTTTAAAAGCAAAAAGCAGCGTTTTGCTTTGATAACGTTCAATGGAGAAGCTGCTGAAATGCATAGTAGTGCGTTTTTTTGCCGCGGTTTGCATTTTTATTCTGCCCAGCAAGAAAAAAAAAATTCCACTTTAAAAAAAAAAAAAAGCTGAACAAAACGCGGTAAAATACGTCAAAAACGCATCAAAAATGCGTGTAGAAAACCTCAAAATGAACTGCAAAAAACACTACAAAACGGACAAAAAGCAAACTGCATAGGTGTGAACAGAGCCTCAAGCCTCATCCACACCCACACTGCATCTCAATACCTGTTTGACTTTTTTTTTTTTTCTCTGATTCTAAATGCCTCTCATGTTAGCCTATGTATCCATGCACACACAGGCGTTAAGAGGCAGAAAAAAAAAACTCACATGCATGTTTTGAAAAAGAACATTCGGGCTGGGAAAACCTGCATAAACGTGTGTGTTAATGCACATTAAAAAATTCTGATGGCCAGAATAAATTAATATTCTGGCCAATAGAATACGTTAAGGACAAAATCGTGAATGCACATAAACGCACTTGCAAAAGCTCCCCTTTGATGCATTTTTCCAGCTGCTTTTCTCCTTGCCGTCCTTTGGAGTACAGTGTGCACGGATCCTTGTGGTGTGAACAGGGGCGGACTGACAACTTATGGGGCCCCCAGGCAATAGGGGATCATGGGGCCCCTGTGTCCTTGCCCAAACTCAAAAAAGCCTATGAAAAAGGTACCAGGGGCATCTCATGGGGCCCCCTACTGACCCCGGGCCCTTGGGCAGTGCCGAGTTTCCAAATGGTCAGTCCGCCCCTGGGGACTGTTGCAGATGCACATGTGTTTACGCACCTATGCGCATGTCTCTGTTGAAAGCCATACACCTACACAGGGACGGACTGACCATTTGGAAACTCGGGCACAGTAGGGGGCCCCATGAGATGCCCCTGGTACCTTTTTCATAGGCTTTTTTGATTTGGGCAAGGACACAGGGGCCCCATGATCCCCTATTGCCCAGGGGCCCCATGAGTTGTCAGTCCGCCCGAGCACCTACATTCACAACTATACACAAAAAATACTTTGCACTGCATTTTGTATTACAACTATTTTTTTTTACAGCTATGTGCATGAGGACTAATATGTATTGAAGCAGCCAATTGGAGGGCTGTGTGGCAGGGTGACAACACAAGAGCACACATGGAAAGAAGGGACAGAGCATTGTCACCCTGTAGCAGCAAGTGCCTTAACAAGGACCTTCAGAATCGCCAGGGATGACTTTTTATGAAAGCTAGTGGTTTATAAAAAACAAAAAAAAAACAAATATGTTGAAAAGGACATTTGAAAAGACATGTTCACATCCATGCAAAATCCCATACGTTCCTGCAGCATGTGCGTCCTTCTCGCAGGTATGCTGCAGTGAAACCCTTGGCATTTTCTAGCGTAACACACTGAACACAATCAAATAAACATTTCCCAGTAAACTATTTGTTACAATTTATTATCCCAGCATTTACAGTTTACAGCTTGCAATGCTGCTGGCACCTGCTCTCTAAGTGCTGCTTCCCTAAACGCAATGGTGTATTTAGGTTTTGTGCTGCCCTAGACAACACAAAAATTGTCTGCCCCCATAGACACCGACCAACACAACTCCCCCCTTCCCTTGGAGAGTGCCTGACATTGGCCAACAACACCCCTGCACCCCACCCGGGAGAGCCTTCCACTACCCCCACCTGCAGCGATAGAGAGACACTCATCTTCACAGCTCTGAACATCGCCAGGAACGTGAGCCAGGCTCTGCATACACCAACCTCTCTCAGATCACACCTGGTTACCATGGTGCGTGTGTCCCTTCTTTCATCCCTTCTTCTGGGGGGAGTGCTGCCCCCCTGAAAAATGCCGCCCTAGGCAAGTGCCTTCTTCGCCTTGTGGTAAATATGCCCCTGCCTAAACGTCTGCTCTTCACAGAAAAGGGTAAATAGTGTATAGTGCAGTCTGTTAGCTTGGAGGGGGGAAGAAGGAAGAGGGGAATGCCTTGCCATGCTAGGGTATGGGGCTGTGTGTTTCTATTGATGCACACAGTGTAGGGAGACACAGCTCTAGTCCCTGCATACAAAGGTGACACCATAGGACGCTGCAAAAAAAGAGCTACCATTAAACAGGAATCCTGGAGCTTTGGTCATGGCACCAGCTGAAACTGGAATTTAGGCAAGGATTAAAATATAATAATGAAGCTGTATACTCCATAAGTGCGGTATGCGTAATTTACAAATTAGGGAGGGGCAGTTACAATACAATTCATTGTAAGTGGAATCAGTAAAAACATTTCTGCCCCTATGCCCCTGTG